GAAAAGACAACGAAACAGAGAGATAGTTGAACCAAATGAACGGAACAGCAACAGCAGAATTTTACGACCAAATACCAGTCGACAAATACATATGTACACCTACCTGTACACGCATGTATAAAAAATGTCCATGCAAATACATGTATGAATATGCAAATACAGCTACAAAATCACTATGAAACCGTACAGTGTGTGTGTATCAGTTTGCTTATTTGTTGTTGAGAAAAAAAAAAAAGAATCATATGATTTCATCTTAGCATTAGCGCTTTCTGTGGCAACTAACAAAGTAAACTGCACAGAAGAAATATCGTTTTTTTATTCAACAACAAAACAAAAAAAAAATACTGAAAAAACTGCAAAAAATTAGCCTAAAACATTACAATAAGTGAACAAAAACTCTAGCAAACATTTTTTTTTTCTTCATCAAAATTCCCAAATTTTATTTTCTGACTTAATTGTATTAATCCGCTTTTTGCACATTTGCTTCCTTGTTCAAAAATTTGTACAATTCTTTCTTTATCTTCTCATTACACCAGATATAAAGCTGCATAAGATAATGATGATGAAAAAAGAGCATAAAGATGATGACAAATAAATTCAGGTGATAAGAAAATGCTTCTTTTTAATTTAGTGCTGCAATTAGTGAAACTGAGTGAGGTTAAAAAATGTTACAGCTAAAAATCTCAGTTTATCACAAAATGTGTGGATGTTTAGTTGTATAAACTGATTGCTGCTCATTGTTAGCCATTTGGTGCCGTTAAAGTTTGGAGTTCTTGGAGTACCTTTCAGATTATTTAAATAATATTAAATTAAAATTCCAAGAAAACAAAAAAAAAAAGGGTGGAAATTAGAAGAAAACAAGAAGTTTATTGTTGTGTATGAACAAAATGTACAAAACACACACACAAAAAAAAAGGGAATTTAAATAAAAAGAAAAATAAAAAAAAAAAAGTACAAAAACCTAATTGATCTTATAAATCGACGGGTATTGTATACGGTTTCGCACATTTAACTTGACAAATTGCTCAATTTTATCACCATTAATATTTCAGTTTTTCTTTTTTTTTTTTTCGTTTCGTCAAATTACTTCTTCTAGACCATTTTTTTTAGTGTAGTATCAAAAGCACACAATTATGTAAGTAATCATTGTTCTGCGAAATATAAATTGTATCAGTAAGAAAAGATTAAATATGTAAACAAATACTGATATTATATTGTAAAACAAATATCTATCGTTATTGTTACTAATTGCGTCAAAATAACACTTTTATGCAGATTATAGTATTCCTTTTTTTTTTGAATAAAATTAAAAACTGTTTTGTAAAATTTAATCAAATTGTCTTTGTTGTTAGAAAATTTTTTTTGAATTTTCAGTTATATAAATGTCTTTTTGAATTAATAAAAAATTTTTTCTTCTTTATATTTATGTCTTTCTTTCAGTGTTTGTTCATTTGTTTGTTTGTTTGTTTGTTTCCGTTATGTTTCTACATTCTACTTTTTTTGGTCATTTTTTACACCCTCACTTTGGCACCTAACAACAGCATTTGGCTGTTCCAGTAATGTACAACTATATTCTAAAGTTACACAGTTTTCAATGATTTATGAAAGTATTAGTTAGAGAGAAAATTGTCGACGATGTGGGTTTTTCGAGAATCAGGTTTTACAAAAAAACAAAAAAAAATTTTTATCTGTTTATTGTACAGTTATCGTAACTCAACAAATGTCATTTAGTGCAATTGTCTACTGTAATTGTTCAAAAATTGACTTTCTCTTATTTGGCTGACAACAAACACTGAAGCTTAAGCTTGAGAAATTTTTGGTCTAAATTGCTAAAGATAGAATAAAATCAATGAACAAGTGAATACAGTAACAGGATGAAAGAAATTCAACAAAATGTGGACAAGCCGTTATAAAAAAAAAAAAAAAAGGAGAATTTTTCAATTATTACCATTGTTCTATTACTGACTTTTTATTTGTGTGAAACATTGTTGAAAGCTTGAGTGAATAAGTTCAGGTATTTATCGTCAAATTGTCAGCATATACAGTTAGTCTATCTGAGCGGTATAATTTAGTTTAAGGTTTCATTCTTTTTTTTTTTTT